TAGATTGTTGTAATGAAGCGAATAATGCAGGAAATTTAAGAAATATTGACCGAATTTTAAGTAAATCCATAATAAGCAATTATAATTATGATGGTTGTTAAGGGGAAAAAGTCCTTAAAAAGATATAGCAACGTATTAAACGCAATTTATGGTAATTTATTTGAGAAAGTTCTAATAGTATGAATAATAACAATAATTTTATTACAGAATCAACTAAATCAGAGGGATACACCTATGATAAATTTATAAAGGATCTGCGTTTATCGTTGCATCGCTTCAAGAATACGATAAATAAATCAAATTCAAGAAAGAAAATCGAAGATAATAAAGAAAATGATGATATTTTGCCATAAAACCATATTTTCCTGAAGTTAGTTTTGATACAAATTCTTTAAAAACAAAACCTGATGAAATGTTCAAATTAATTTTATTTTATTATACATATGTATTAATTTTTATTTTATTGTTTAAATAAATATATTACATATACATATGTATATTCTTTTATATATAAATTCTATTAATTTTTCTATATATACATACATATGTATGTGTATTTATATTGAAATCAATAAAAAATATATAAAACTTTAATATTTATTTATTTATTTATTTAATAGAAATTTTTTTACAATTTTATCATAAATACAAAAAGTTATATTGCACAGATTTGGCTTTGCCTTATATCTTAAGTTTTATATTTAATTAAAGAAAATAACAATTGTAAAGAAATAGATTAATAATACTTTGAAGGAAAACTATAAAAAAACCTTCAATATGAGGAAAAAAAATGAAAAAATGAGTAATTATGAATTAATAATTTTATTAATAAAATGATTAAAAAAAACAGAGCAACATAGTACTACTAACTAGTTAATACATTATATAAAGTAATAGGTAAGAAAGTAATTAACATTAGAAAAATTACAATATACAAATGTATATAAGATAGCAAAAAAAAAAAAAATTACAAAACAATAATAAGTAGACAGTAACATTTACAATTAGTACAGTGCGGAAATAAGAGGATTATCCGAAAAAGAGCAGTTGAATCTAAAACGTGCGGTTAGAATTTCAATGGCTTTTGTAACAGTTTTGGTGTTACTGATGGTGTGCAATCTGGAGGTGGAAAAATGCCATGGTAATTTCAGAACCATTTTCAGAATTTTATTCTGAGCTATTTGCAGGCGATTTAATGAGTTTTGGCACAATTGCCCCAAATTGGGCAGCCATATAGGATTATTGCCTGAAAAATGGTTTTAACAATTAAAATTTTATTGGAATTACTTAGTAAAGAGTTACGATTGATAAGTGGGTATAATATATTTTTATATTTGTTAATTTTATCGATAATGTGGCTTACATGAGAGTTAAATGTCAACTTTTTGTCCAAAGAAATACCTAAATAAAGAACGTTATCAGACCAAATAATATTACTGCCTAAAAGAGTTAGATTACCATTTGGCAAGAAACAATGTTTTCTTTTTCTTGTAAAAAAGATAGCTTGAGTCTTATTAGGATTAATTTTTATCCTCCATTTGGAATAATAATCTTGTAACAAATCTAAAGAACATTGAATTTCTGTCAGAATATTCTGACTGAGTTCATGTGTGAAATATACTGCTAAATCGTCAGCATAAGCAGCTAATTTGCTAGGACTAATTGCGGGTAAATCACCACAAAAAATGTTGTACAGAATTGGGCCAAGAACTGAGCCTTGTGGGACACCAGCCGGGATAAGATTCAGATCCGAGAAACAACTTCCTACAGAAACACAAAAGTATCTATCTTTAAGAAAATTTCTAACAAGCTTAATAAGGAACAATGGAAAATTAAATTGGATGAGTTTGTATACCAGTCCATTGTGCCATACAGAATCGAATGCTTTTTCAACATCAAGTAAGACTAGAGCGGTTGACTTTCCAGATACTAATCCAGTTTTAATATCATTACAGATCCTTTTAACCTGATGAACAGTAGAGTGCGAACTTCTAAATCCAAATTGTTCGTCAGGTAGAATGTGGTTAGCATTTACAAATTTAATAATTTTCTTACATATAATCTTTTCAAGCATTTTTCCTAGACTACTTAATAAGCTAATCGGTCTGTAGTTTTCAGGCTGGTTAGGTAATTTACCCACCTTGGGTATTGGTGTAACCTTGGCAGTTTTCCATGAACTAGAAAAGTATTGGAGACACAAGCAGGAATTGTAAATGTTAGTAAGAAAACTTACAGCTATTTTAGGAAGATTTTTTAACATCAAGTTGTTTATGTCATCTAACCCACAGGATTTACTTTTCCTTAGGTCACTTATAATCATTACAATATCGCTGTCTGTTATAAGTTCCGAATCAGGAGTGTTAATGACCGATGAATCGAAAAGGTCAACAGCTTGATTCACTATTCTAATATGGTTAATTTCACCTAAATTTTCAGAAACCTTATGATTGAGCTCAAAGGCCTTTGCAAATGCATTGGCTTTGTCTTCATCAGAAATAATAATATTATCATTAGATAAAGCGAATGACAGTAATTTGTCTTCTTCTTCAAGATTTTAGAAACATTCCAGAAAGGCTTAGAACCCTTATTCATTGCGGATAATTTTTTATTCCACTGACGATTTCTGTAAGCATATATTTCATTGCGAATAAGAATAGAATATCTGCACATTACCTGATAATCAGCTAGTTGCCTATATCTAGTCCATTCCCTACGAAAATAATTTCTTAGTTTAATTAATTGTAAAATATAATTAGGAAGTTGCATAAAGTTGGTTTTAGCTGGAGATTTTGGGACTGATTGCCTAACAGCTTCCAATAAAACACCAGTAAAAAACTCAACACTATCATCTATAGTATTAGGAGATTCTAAAGTGGCATCAATTACAATATTATTCAGTGAATTCTTAACTACAGTTTTGTACTTTAGCCAATTTGCCCGTTCAAAATTAAAAGTCATATTTTTAATTATGGGGACATTTGTTGAGAGATTAAATGAAACTGGTAAGTGATCAGAACTTAGGTCGTTAATAGTAAGAGGGTTAGAAATATATTGAGGGATATTAGAAAGAATTAAATCAAGGGTAGATGAATGGACATTTGGAGCAGAGGGGATATAAGTAGGAGAGTTAGGAAACAAGATAGAAAATGGAAAGTAAGATGTAAAGTCATTAAGAATATTACCCCACTGGTTAGCACGTAAGCAATTCCAATTTCTGTGTCTGGAGTTCAAAGTGAAAAGTTGGAGTTGAAAGTGAAAATCTTTCAACGATTGATGATGGTATTGATCAGTCTTCAAAACTTACTGATCAATCAATATTCCGCCAAAAGAAGATTTAAAAACTTTAAAAGTTTTATGTGAAAACGGTATAGACGTACCAAGTACTTCGAAAAAACTTTTAAAGAAAAAGCAAACTCCATTCATTGTTAGAACGGTTAATCCCGGTAATTATTACCATATCGGCTTAAAAAACAATTGGAAATAGATAGATAGATAGATAGATAGATAGATAGATAGATAGATAGATAGATAGATAGATAGATAGATAGATAGATAGATAGATAGATAGATAGATAGATAGATAGATAGATAGATAGATAGATAGATAGATAGATAGATAGATAGATAGATAGATAGATAGATAGATAGATAGATAGATAGATAGATAGATAGATAGATAGATAGATAGATAGATAGATAGATAGATAGATAGATAGATAGATAGATAGATAGATAGATAGATAGATAGATAGATAGATAGATAGATAGATAGATAGATAGATAGATAGATAGATAGATAGATAGATAGATAGATAGATAGATAGATAGATAGATAGATAGATAGATAGATAGATAGATAGATAGATAGATAGATAGATAGATAGATAGATAGATAGATAGATAGATAGATAGATAGATAGATAGATAGATAGATAGATAGATAGATAGATAGATAGATAGATAGATAGATAGATAGATAGATAGATAGATAGATAGATAGATAGATAGATAGATAGATAGATAGATAGATAGATAGATAGATAGATAGATAGATAGATAGATAGATAGATAGATAGATAGATAGATAGATAGATAGATAGATAGATAGATAGATAGATAGATAGATAGATAGATAGATAGATAGATAGATAGATAGATAGATAGATAGATAGATAGATAGATAGATAGATAGATAGATAGATAGATAGATAGATAGATAGATAGATAGATAGATAGATAGATAGATAGATAGATAGATAGATAGATAGATAGATAGATAGATAGATAGATAGATAGATAGATAGATAGATAGATAGATAGATAGATAGATAGATAGATAGATAGATAGATAGATAGATAGATAGATAGATAGATAGATAGATAGATAGATAGATAGATAGATAGATAGATAGATAGATAGATATTTTTTATTTTTTTTTATTTTTTTTTTTTTTTATTATTCAAATAATTTATTAAAATTAAATTACAATTCATTAGATTAAAATTAAGATCCCACGAAGCCGTTTATAGGCTTGTCTGTGGGTCGAAGTTAATTTAAGTAATATGTTTTTTTTTTAAGGATTAACAATCTAAATATTAACAATTAGTTACTTTTTCATTCCTTCATTGCGAACTTATGTAAAAGTTCTTTAATTCTTTCTTTTTCTTATACGTATATCTAATATTTAATATATCTGTTGGCAAGTTGTTAAGGATTTTTGGCAATTGTACTTCTAAACTCGCTCTTCCATAGTTATTTTTAAATATCCTTGTTTTATATCGGCCTTCTGTTTGACTTCTGGTATTATAGCGATGATTTATTTTCTCTAGATATCTACTTTCTTGATGAAAATTGTTGATCACCGTCATTTCATATATACTCTTTATATTGAGTATTTTTAACTGCTTTGCAATATAAATATTGTTACAGTAATTATTTCTGTAGAAGATTTGGTTAGTGTTATCTGTATTCATACTGTTGTTTGTGTTGGTATTGTTGTTTAGGCTGGTATTGTTGTTTGTACCAATATTATATGTGGTGGTGTTGTAGTTTGTTCCGGTGTTGTTGTTTGAATTAGTGTTGTAGCTTGTGTTGTTGTTTGCGATAGTGTTGTTATTTGTATTATTGCTTGAGTTGATGTTGTTATTTGTAATGTTGTTTGGCCTAGTGTTGTTGTTTTGGCTAATGTTGTTGTTTTGGCTAGTGTTGTTGTTTGAGCTAGTGTTGTTGTTTGGGCTAGTATTGTTGTTGTTGTTTGGGCTAGTGTTGTTGTTTGGGCTAATGTTGTTGTTTGGGCTAGTGATGTTGTTTGGGCTAGTGTTGTTGTTTGGGCTAATGTTGTTGTTTTGGCTAGTGTTGTTGTTTGTGCTAGTGTTGTTGCTTGGGCTAGTGTTGTTGTTTGAACTAGTGTTGTTGTTTGGGCTAGTGTGTTGTTGTTGTTTGGGCTAATGTTGCTTTGGCTAGTGTTGTTGTTTGATCTAGTGTTGTGGTTTGGGCTAGTGTTGTTGTTGTTTGGGCTAATGTTGTTGTTTTGGCTAGTGTTGTTGTTTGGGCTAGTGTTGTTGTTTGTGCTAATGTCGTTGTTTTGGCTAATGTTGTTGTTTGAGCTAGTGTTGTTGTTTGAGCTAGTGTTGTTGTTTGAGCTAGTGTTGTTGTTTGGGCTATTGTTGTTATTTTGTCTAGTGTTGTTGTTTGAGCTAGTGTTGTTGTTTGGGCTAGTGTTGTTGTTTGGGCTAATGTTGTTGTTTGTGCTAGTGTTGTTGTTTTTATACTTTTTGGACTTTTGAAAATTATCCCAAAGTATCTTTAATACTCTATTTTGGGAGTTTTGGATAATATTACAGTACGTTGAACTTCCCCATGCTGTAATACCGTGCCTGATATATGACTCCGTCAATGAGAAGTAAGCTTGCCTCAATACGCTGTATGTAGCAGAGTTGCTTAGGTGATATAGCATAATCGAAGATTTTCTTATTTGTTTTAGTACTTCTTCAATGTGTGTGCGCCATTTAAAATTGTGGTCTATATGCACACCCAGATATTTGTATGTATTTACCAATTCGATTACTGTTGAACAATTATCATTATTACTTGAATTATCGTTGTGGATACAGTTGATTTCATGGAATTTAAGGCATATCTTTGTGTATCTAAAATGCCGAGGTTTGATGTGCATAAGCTTGGTTTTGGTGGCATTGATAATCAACCCATTGTCATGACACCATTTTGTTGCTATATTTAACTCATTTTGCATTACGTTGGTTGCTATGTTTAAGTCTTTATTAGCAACAATGATAGCTGTGTCATCCGCGTATGCAAATGTGTTACTGTTCTTTAATATGGTAATTAAATCATTTGCATATAAAAGGTAAAGTATTGGTCCCAGCTTTGAACCTTGAGGGACACCATGAGTTATGTCGGCTTCACTGCTCATACTATTTCCTATTTTAACTCTAAATTTTCGGCAATTTAAGTATCCTTTAAAAAAGTTTAGAGAATTTCCTCTTATACCAATCCTTTCTAATGTTTCTATAAGCCTGTTATGATTTAAAGTGTCGAAAGCTTTACTGAAGTCGACAAATAGTGCTAGACAATGTAGATTTTCATTTAAGCATGTATTAATGTGGTTTGAGATGTTTCCAAGCAATTTATTAATGCTTTTATTTTTCTGGAATCCATATTGGTTTTCGTTAATTACATTGAATCTTTCTATAAAGTCGGACAGTCTTCTAACAACCACTTCTTCCATAACTTTTTCAATGACAGGCAAAATTGATATGGGTCTATAGTTGTTGTAATCTTTTTTTAATCCACTTTTATAAATTGGACGAACTATTGATACTTTGAAAATTTCTGGAACACAAGCATGATTTAGGATCATGTTTATCATGTGAGTTATAATAGGAGTTAGGGAATGTGCATGAATTTTGATATCACGTGGTCTGATGCCATCTATACCCGCATTTTTGTTTGTGTTTAGTGATTTTATTATGTTAAATATTTCAATTTCATTGGTATTTTCGATATATATTGAATTACAAATAGTTTTTTCAGTATACTTTATGGTTTTTTTATTACATGTATGAATTATCTTTTGGACATTATTTGTTAGGTTTATTGCGAAGTTATTCAGTACATCATGCAGATTTTCATGTTTAAAATTATTTATTAAAGTTTCATCTAAACTTGTTGCTTTTTTACCATTTATTTCGTTTATAAGTTGCCAACTTATTCTCATATTACTTCTATTTTCAATAAATTTTTTCCTATAATAATTGTTTTTGGTGAAATTTATTTTCTTATTTAAAGCATTTCTAAATTTTTTATAATCTTGCTCATATTGTTTATTTTTTCTATTACTTAACCACTTTTTATAAAGTTTATCCCGTTTTTCACAGCACAATATTAATTCATTGTTTATCCACGGATTAGAGTTTCTTTTTTTTTTCTCGTTTTTCAACTTTAACTGAATTTGCATATATTTCATAGAATTTACCATTAAATATGTTAAACAACTCATTTACATCATTATTGTTATTAAGTAAATTGCACCAATTTGTTTCATTTATAAGTTTATCTACTTTTTTATTATCTATTTTTGTTTTTTTTATAAGAGTTTGGGAATCCCTGGGGGTCATTAGAACAATTAGGCGATCTCTGCATGTTTATGTTATCATCCCAGCGGTAAATGAAACAAAGTACTTAGATAATATTCGATGACATCAGTATGACGTTCTAAGCGAGCAATCTAAGTACTTAGAGTGCAATGTATGCGTAATCCAACATATCATGCACTTTAATAATAACATAGATTACGATTTAAGCAGAGAGTTAGCTGCCTTTTTCATGTAGTTTTTTGTTTTTATATCTTTAAAAAAAAGAACTAAAGTACCGTTTTATTTTTCTTTTGTATGTATAGGTGCTACATGAAAAGAATAATATTTGTGTTTCAGTTTAAAGTTGATCTTTTGTAAGTGAAGTTGTGTTTTCTTAAAAAATTTGTTTTATTGTAAAAATTTAAAATAATTGTGGTGATCTAAATGCCACAAACGGATTTAAAAATTGGGGTAAATTTACTTCATACATTCTAGTTTTAATACTGACAATTTCTTCTTGTTTGTTTACAGGATCTGTAAAGGAAGATGGCCGAAAGTTTCAAAAGAAAATTAAGATTCATTTCATTTATCTTCGTTTAAAAGTGTTTAATTATATTTTTATTGAATTAACTATAATACATGTTTATTATTTGATGATAATTTTTAAATAAACTTACATAATTTGAAATAAACGTAAACAAAAAATATATTTTTTCTATAGCAAAATCGGAAGACATGGTACTTTAACTTACAAATGCAAATAGGATTGTAATCTACATACATTACATTCTTATTTGTAAGCGTTTATAGGCGTCTCATTAACTTCGCTTAGAACTCCACACATTATGTAAGTGAAATTTTAATTTGTCTTAATGAAACTGTGGCTTACATTCTAAGCGAGAGCACATCGATGAGGCAGCCTAGGACACTTTTATGTTAAATCTAAGTGGAAGAATAAGTGAAAGCATCACCACTGACTGCCACGAAATATCACTTAGATAAGCGAGTACATAATGTGTATTTTTACCGCTGGGATGTTCTCTTTTATCATCTTCTAAACAAAAAAGAATACTGTAATGGTCAGCTATTGTTGTTGTTATTACTGCTGCATACCCAGAAGATTTATTTTTGTTGTCTCTTACAAAGCAATGATCTATACATGTTCGTGTGTTTGCTAGTACATCTTCCCGTGTACTCTCGTTTATGACACTCTCTAGACCATTTGACATCATCATATCAACATATTTTTTTGTTGTCGAATTGTTTTTTAATGTATCAATGTTTATGTCTCCGATGATAATAATTTCTTGTTTTCTGTTTATATTGTTTATTTTTTCATCGAGCTCAAAAATAAATGTGTTTACATTGGTTGAAGGGGGGCGGTAAATCGCAAGTAGTGTGAGGGGCTTGTTGTTTATGCATACATCTAGGCTGAGCATTTCAAAGGAATTAACGTTTATGTTGTTGGTTGTAAAGTTTAAATCATCTTTGATGTATACCGCAACACCTCCGCCTGAACCTTCTCTGTTGACAAAAAGAGAGTTGAAACCGTTTATTTTGTAAAAGTTTGTTTCATTATCGTCTATATTTGTTTCGACGAGAACAATTATCTTCAATTTATTTATTATATTGTGAATGGTAGCAAAAAAAAAATTGAAATTTTTGCGGATTGAGCGAATGTTCATGTGCATGATTGATAGGGGATAACTTAAGTAAGTATTATTAATTTGGTTGACATTAACGACTTTTTCTTGTATAAAGTTCATTTTTGTGATACAAAGTTTAAAGACATTAATAGGTCTATACGTGTTAAGGAATTGTGAATTTTGATATGGGAGAAAGTTTTAAGACGTTGCCAGGTCTAAACGATAGATTCAAGATCAGCAGAATTTTTAATAAGGATTGCTGGTGTATTTTCAGATTTCCTAACAAAAATTGAGCCATTGCGCGACCATACATATTTCCAGTTGGTTTCTTTGGCTTTTGTTTTTGCGAGCCAAAGAAGCTTACGGTTTTGTGCGGTTAAACAGTCATTTATATATATGAAGTTACTGTTTCCTGTTTCGTTAATTAAATTAGCTTCGATTCTGTGGCGCTTAATTTTTTGCATAAACTCTCTCTTTTTGTTTTTGGTTGTAAACTCTACAATGATCTTGTCTTGTATGTTTTTCAGGCGGTAAGCATCGCTGATATCGTAGTCGGTTATGCTGACATTTATTGATGCAGCTATGTTTTGACAACCTCATTTACATGAATTTCCTTGTTTTCTACGTTTTTAATTTCTATTTTTTACTAAGCATTTGTTGTTCCAATTGGTTGATTTTATTTTGGTTTTGTTTAATAGATAGATAGATAGATAGATAGATAGATAGATAGATAGTAGATAGATAGATAGATAGATAGATAGATAGATAGATAGATAGATGATAGATAGATAGATAGATAGATAGATAGATAGATAGATAGATAGATAGATAGATAGATAGATAGATAGATAGATAGATAGATAGATAGATAGATAGATAGATAGATAGATAGATAGATAGATAGATAGATAGATAGATAGATAGATAGATAGTAGATAGATAGATAGATAGATAGAATAGATAGATAGATAGATAGATAGATAGATAGATAGATAGATAGATAGATAGATAGATAGATAGATAGATAGATAGATAGATAGATAGATAGATAGTAGATAGATAGATAGATAGATAGATAGATAGATAGATAGATAGATAGATAGATAGATAGATAGATAGATAGATAGATAGATAGATAGATAGATAGATAGATAGATAGATAGATAGATAGATAGATAGATAGATAGATAGATAGATAGATAGATAGATAGATAGATAGATAGATAGATAGATAGATAGATAGATAGATAGATAGATAGATAGATAGATAGATAGATAGATAGATAGATAGATAGATAGATAGATAGATAGATAGATAGATCGATAGATAGATAGATAGATAGATAGATAGATAGATAGATAGATAGATAGATAGATAGATAGATAGATAGATAGATAGATAGATAGATAGATAGATAGATAGATAGATAGATAGATAGATAGATAGATAGATAGATAGATAGATAGATAGATAGATAGATAGATAGATAGATAGATAGATAGATAGATAGATAGATAGATAGATAGATAGATAGATAGATAGATAGATAGATAGATAGATAGATAGATAGATAGATAGATAGATAGATAAATAAATATATAAAAAAATGTCCATCTATGCAAATGTAATGGTTGTATGTTATTTAAAACAAAAGTAGTGCCATTCAAATATTTATTTGTATTGTTTTGCGAGAGATATTATAGTTTATTTTCGCATTTTTAGATTGTTGTAATGAAGCGAATAATTGCAGGAAATTTAAGAAATATTGACCGAATTTTAAGTAAATCCATAATAAGCAATTATAATTATGATGGTGTTAAGGGGAAAAAGTCCTTAAAAAGATTATAGCAACGTATTAAACGCAAAATATGGTAATTTATTTGAGAAAGTTCTAATAGTATGAATAATAACAATAATTTTATTACAGAATCAACTAAATCAGAGGGATACACCTATGATAAATTTATAAAGGATCTGCGTTTATCGTTGCATCGCTTCAAGAATACAATAAATAAATCAAATTCAAGAAAGAAAATCGAAGATAATAAAGAAAATGATGATATTTTGCCATAAAACCATATTTTCCTGAAGTTAGTTTTGATACAAATTCTTTAAAACAAAACCTGATGAAATGTTCAAATTAATTTTATTTTATTATACATATGTATTAATTTTTATTTTATTGTTTAAA